CTCCTGGATGCTCTGGGTTTTGTCCAGGACAGTGGCTTTGACACTCATCAGATCAATATGTATTAATTCATTGAATTAGTATATACAAATTAAAATTAATTGCCTGTATAGTAAAATACCACATTTTAATTGATCCTCAATCTGCCAACTTGTTTGTCATATGTATCTACAAATTGCTGCCACACACAGAAGCCCAAAAGTGTCCATACACACACACACATATATTCTCATCCTCTCTTCCAACAGAAATGGTAAAGGAGGAGGAAGGCAGGATAGGGTGAAGGGAAAGGAGATCTCTACTGGGAAAGGAATAGAAAAAGAAAAAATTGGATGAAGGAAACCCGATATAGGTGTTTAAACAGGGTTAAATTAATCAAGCAAGCAGTTGGTGATTCTTCAATTTTCAAGGCCTCCAGTTTTTCACCAGCAAGCTCTGTTATCATTTGCACTTGTCTGTTCTTTTGCTTTCTTCTACAGTACTCTCTTCAGCAGAATGTAGGATGATCTTAACATCTTCCCCTCCCCAATTCCTAGGTAATTATTTGAGGAAAGAGCTTCATCTTTCTGTCAGTAAACACTGTAAATGTGATTTCAAAACCAAAACCAAAATTACATCAGCATTGTCTATCTGATTTCTAGTGCAGAGTTGCAACACTCTTTAAAGCCCTATTGAGCACTTCTTTTATGACAGCACTATGGGCTTGCCTTGCGCTTTGCAAACAAAACCTTCCTCTCATGTCTCTTGGGCCAGTTGCTATCTGAATATTACCCCAAATGGCTCTGCCTAGGTGGGAACCCTTTTTACAACTGTAACTTTAGGCCTCATGATTCTCACTCTTTTCCTACTAGGAATATATAACTGGAAGCCTTTCTGTGGGTGCACTGCTTTATAGCAGAGTGGATTGCTAGAAGTAGAGAAGTTGTTTGTGGTGAGGTGTAAGTCTTGTAGTTAAAATGCTTCTGAAAGCAGGTTGCTTGGATGTCGCCTATGCTAAACGAACACATTTAGCAAATTAGGGACTGACCTTTTCACTACATTGATGTTTAATGCATTAGAGAATTCTGAACACAGCTGATCAGCAATGGGTTGCTGTGCAAAGTCCTATTCAACTTTTGTCTGTCCTGCAGCTTTGTTTGACACACTTTCAATTTAGTGCTTGATTGTGCAATCAACAATGTAGAAAGTCACTGCAAGCCCGTTTTAGTTTTCTTCTTGTGTTTTCTGTTTTCTCCAGTG